TCCAACTATTTTAAAAACAATTTTATGGTTAAAATAACAAATACTTGTTTAATAAAACAATACAAAACAAAATATGTACGCATGACCGGTTGTATGTTGCATGCTCAAGAGTAAGAAATTAAGTTATTCTTCGCTGTTAAAAAGGAAAAAGAAACAAAAAAGTTCTTTAAAAATATCGTTTTCAATGAAGTCCAATAAAATTAAATTAAAGTAAATATTAAACCGCAAAGTATGATTTTTTGTAAAATATTTTTCCAAACAAATCAGCTCATTCAAAATTTTATCGTTTGGTTGGGAAATTGAATGAAGCGTAGAGTTAGTAAATAGCAACCAAAATGTTAGCGATAGTTTCAATAATACTGCAGGCATTTCAACACACGTCAGCGTGATGCAAAGAAATTCTAGTATGTTAAAAATCCAACATGACATGTGAAGACTTTTTTTTTTAAGATTAAACCCGCAGAGGACAGACATCACATTACACGAATATTATCAACTGTTTATTAATAGCTTATAAGAAGCGAATGTACTTAGATATTCGACAGTTTGTGTTTAAATTTCCGCAGAAAAGTAGGAAAATGACCCGAAACAAAAAATAGTTATAAAATATATGAAAATAAAGATATAAATAATCCCTTTCCGCGTTCTTTAAGATAACTTTCATACATGATCTGGTGCCACCGCAATAAGTCTCGAGGTCTTAGACAAAATTCAGAAAGAGATATGCAATGTGATAGGTTCTGATCTGGCATCCTGTCTACAGTCGCTTTCTCACAGATGTGAGGACTGTTCGGACGAGATGTTTTCTTTGGTTCCCAGATAGAATGAATTTAAGCCAGCTACTAGGTTGGCATCTCGGTCTCACTCTTTCACTGTCGAAACAGTTAAATGTAACCGTCTCTTCTACTTAAACAGCTTCTTCTCTTGCACTTCCTGTCTGTGGAATTCTCTTCCCTGGTAACTCTAATCTTCAAATATTCAAGTGAAATTTCAATTGTCATCTTCCGATACCTTGTTCTTTATCCTCTCCTCAAACACGCCTCTTTACTCTGGTTCTCTACTCTCTGTAACCCCTTGCCTTTGCTTGGGGTGAAATGCTGTTAAAAAAAGAAAGAAAGAAAAACTTGTAGAAAGGAAAAACTGCTTCCCAGTCCGAAAAAAAAAAAAAAAAGAAAAATATGATGTGTATAAAAAAGACGTAATTCCGATACGGTGACTTGTGAAAATATCCCGAGAGCAGATTTATATTTTTATATGATTCGAGAGTATCATTCTCAAGAATTTTACATCTAAGTAAGTTAAAAATATTTTTTAAAAATTAATTCCATGAAAAGAAAAGAGAGAAAAAAGCAAATTAAATTAAAAAAGGAAAGACAATAAGAAATCAATAAAAAGAAAAAGAAAAAGGAAAAGAAAAGAGGAAAGGCATATGAAAACATAAGATATTATCCCTACTACAAAGAGAAGGGGAAGAAAAGAAAAGAAAAAAGAAGCCGATGAGTATATCCAAATTTTACAGATAAAAGAAAAGGAAAGAGAAGAAAATAAGATATGAGAAGTGGTTGATACTAGATTTAGCCAATGAAATCACGCTACGATGGAAAATTCTAAAATGAACTGAAATATAACGCAGCAAGTTAGGAAACATATTACAGATACAATGTCGCATTTCAAATTTATATTTTGTATGAAACCAGATATTCAAACAAATTCATCAAAGTACCTAAATAAAAAAAAAACTTTTTAAGCAGAAAAGCGATATACAAACAAAACAACTACTTAACTATACCAACCTTACCTTATAAGTTAGAATACAAATTAAATTTTAAACAATTATATGATTTTATATATTTAATTTAAATTAAAGCTAAAATGAATTTTAAACATGTATATGATTTTTATATAATAAATAGTAAACATTTATCTAACTTTTATATATTTATATTAAAATGAAAACTATTACCAAACAACATCACAAGTAAAATAATTATAAACCAATTCACTGCTAACTTTACTACCAGTAATTTAAGAATACTAACGTATTTAATATCTTAATCAAGAAGAAACGACTAAGGATAACATTAAAATGTTTATATAAAAGTACTATACCATAAGAGAAGTGATTATTGAGTTATAACGTATAGCAAGATTGTAAGGTTAATACCTTGATATGCCTACAATTCACCGTAGTTTCATATCTTTGATTTAATAATTGATCGCTATTCAATAGTTTAATTATCTCAATTTCCTCCTGTAGACAAAAGAAACACACTTTACATTAACTTTACTTTACACACATTACATTAACTACTGATTTATTATTTGTATGACTACTTCTTTATATATATATATATATATATATATAAAGACATTTTTTATGTTTATACATTCTTTTTATAGATACAAATATTTAAATAAATACTCTGTTTATAACAAACAGTACTAAACAACATTTACCGGCCTGAGTTGCACGAGACATTTTCACAGATATTCAGGCCGGTAAATGTTGTTTAATACTGTTTATTATAAACAGAGCATTTACTTAAATATTTGTATCTATAAAAAGAATGTATAAATATAAAAATGTCTTAAAATAATTGTCGGAGTTTGTCCATTTCATATATATATATATATATATATATGCATGAATGGATTTATAACAATTGGAAGATGTCTGTGAATCGTTTTAAACATTTGTGCGATGCATTCATTAATTCATGTTTCTGTCATTGTGTTGATATGAGGCTTACGAACGTGTAATATGTAGACGCAGAGAGAAATTTACACACGGTGAGCACGCGAGTGAGATTATTCATTTGCCTATTTTCAATTCTTCCTTAAATACCTCTTGGGCTTCTGCAGTTTTCATCTAAGTCCAACGGGCCACTAACAAACTGACCACAGCTTCTGCGCCGGAGCAGTTGGTTACGTGAGATAATGTCACAGACGGCAGAACGGCCCAAGCAGAATACTATAGATAGTGATCGAAGCGTCAGGAAGATTAACACTTAAACTATTCCATCCGAAATCGGTGGACATCGTAGTAGCCGCAACTTCCTCTCTATTTCGCTATCTGTCATTCTGGAGGATAGCCAGGTATGTGGTGACTTGGGGGTGAGTGAATGGACCCACTTGAAATGATTTTCTCTCGAACGACATGCAAATGACGTGCGATATGTGAATGGCCCAACTGCCGTTTTCATTCCGAGCCACAGTAAGTGAGATTATATGACCGAAGGTCAGCTTGTGTCGAGGTTTGGACTGGGGGACAATATGAAAACAAGTTTGGTCATCTTTAGTGCAATTAGTCCTGAAGAGAACGTCCAAGTAGATCGTCTATTAATATCGATAATTATACAAGCATTGTGGCTAATGATGGCCATTTCTTGGCGCCATCATTAGTTGGCGCCTGTATAAATTGGCGCGCCCTAATTTTGTGACGAAATAATAGGAAATAGAGGGGGAAAGGATTAATCATATTTTAATTCTTTTAGGGACATAGGAATATTCAAATATGGTATGTCTACGGATAAATGCGGAAATATTTCGAATTTTCTGAGAATTTTGCTTTCAAATTTGGTGTTCCCATATTTCATATACTTATATATTATTTCTGAACATGTATTACAAAAAATAACATATATCTGGCAATTTAACCGTTTCTATGTAGGAAAAGTTCGACAATCTTTCAACAAAACAAACCCTTAACTTTACCGTCTTTTGAAAAACACTAAGTTAAAACACTATTTCGAGAAAAATAATTTCTCAAGTCTAGTTTTTTCTAAATTGATATGAGTGTTTCCTTCCAAACCTTTTATTTATGGTATTTGATTAAATCATTATTTTGACATTTTAATCTGTAAGTACTCTTGTGACCACCTTTAGATTTTTAAGAATCGCATACAAATGAAAGTTGCGTGATTTTTTCACAATTTACAATTTCAGGCCAAAGAGGCTTTGCCATCTTAATGCGTTTTATCATGCATCGTCGGTTTTATTTTGTATCCAAGAATTTGATTTCTTCTTTGCTGATCGCTTCCTTTATGTTAATGGCGGTTATTTAGACAATATGGTTGGTTTAGTTCATTAGTAATAAGGAAAGGGCTTGGCGTTTATTATTTGGCGGATTGGTTATTAAATGTCCTCCAAATAATAAACACCCACCCTCTCCTTATTAATAATGAACTAATCCAACCACTTGGTCGAAAGAGCCAAAATATTGTCTACAAAACTAAAATAATAAGAAGCCTATTTCAAATCAAACAGTTGATGACAAACCAAAGAGATCGGCAAAACACCATGGATTAGAATCTTATTTCAAGAACTTAGACACAAATAAAAAAAAAAAAAGAAAAAAACTAGAGAAAGCAAGAAAAAAACACAAAAGATCATTAAACGGAAAAGTTCCGTAGTCTTTAACAACATATATATATATATATATATATATATATATATATATATATATATATATATATATATATATATATATGTATAGGCAGCTTATCTTCATTCAACCATGTTTCATTCATTTATTTTTATAATAATACTTTCTACTTCAAATTTACGAGGCCTTTTAGATCAAAATAACCAACCAAAACACATACAAAAATAAACAAAAGAAAAAAAAAACGATTTTTTACGAATGTAGCAGCAACGTATTGAAGTGTATATAACAAATTTAATGCCATTTTGTATTTTTACCATTTTCCGGTCAGCTCGCTTATATTGGAACGCTTGTTTTACTAGAAATTCCATAACTACAACGGACAAATTTTAAATGAATTATAACAGAACGCATTCAGGCGTACTTTTTTTTTTTTTTAAATCAATGTCTTATTCTTCTTATTATTATTCTTATTCTTTTCATTAATAAATTTCTCCTATTTTTTTTTATTATTCTGAGGATGATCTCTGAAGAGATCGAAAGTACTTGGTTAGGAAAAACTACGCCACCTTCCTTGATGAATTTCATCTTAACATCAAGAAACTTGTTCGAGAACTAAAAAACTTTGCCCCTCGGCAAAACCTCGTCCGGATTCCTCTCTGCTCAAGTCAAAGTGTCCGACAGATGAACAATCTGGTCGACTGTTAATATTTAACAGCCTCGCCCCACGAGGGATTTATGTGTCAGAAGGCCGAGTTTACTGTGGGTTCTCCGAGCCCGTAGGCTCGGCCAGAAATATTCCCTCAGAAGCCGCATAAACGGGTTCAGGAACCGTCCACCTCCCCGGACGAAACCCTGCCCTGCGGCAAAGCCGAGGCAGAGAGTTCGACAGATGAACAATCTGGTCGACTGTTCCCACAAGGCCTTCTCTCCTACCAATTTTATAGTAGGCGGAAGAGTCCAACATAGACTCTTTAGAGGAAGCACAACACCTCCCTTTTAAGCCTGACTCCGTATGGAGTCATTCTTTTAAATAATTACCACACAATACTTTTCATTCAACCCTTTTTCACAAAAAAAATATAATCAGAAACAACCACTTTGAAAAAGATAGATATAGGAATTACGTTCACAATTTTTTTTAATTTTACGACAAACATTTTACGTGTTAACAACAGTCCCTTTTTATTAAGGTCTCTATTCCTTATTCCTAAATAATGAAAAATTTTAATGGTAAATTATAATGTTCTTGTATGATTCTTTTATTGAAAAATTTAAAAACGGAAGAGAGGGTAAATTTTAACTTTACCCTATCAGCGAAAACAGTAAGTCTGTTTGACTTGTACAATTCTTTTACTGACTTGTTGGAATGGAAAAAAATAACAAGGTTCACCACCCTTCTTCCTAACCACTGAATTAAACTTGTAGAAATCCTCTTGTTTTGAAGAATTTCTTTTTTTTTTCACTGTCAGTGTTGAAATTAACACTGGATACACTTTTTGTCGTACAGTTGATTAGAATTCCTTTCTTCACCACTGTTGTAGACACTGGCAAAATTTGTTTTTTTATGATTTATCGTGGAGTCAGTTTCTTCGAATCCTTCGTCGTCAAGATGTTGCGACCAAGTAAATTGTTGAAGAAATACTAAATCAAGTGTTACAGTGTTGTCATATATTAAACAGTAATTAAAACAGAAGACTAGTGATTGTGTGTCGGTTGACCCAGCGTTCCATTTTACTCGACTGTTCCCCAAGGCCTTCTCTCCTACCAATCTTATAGTAGGCGGAAGAGTCCAAACATAGACTCTTTAGAGGGAGGCCACCACAACATTTAGGTTTTAGCTAATCGATTAAATTTAATATTTTCAATAATCAAAATACTTTGCTCTAATTTAAAATTAATTTAAAAAAACAATTTAAATTGAGTGGAAGGTTTTTTTTTTTATAAAATAACTGATTAAAGCCCTTTTTAGTCGTCTTCCATCGCTATGTGATTCTATTTATAAAACAATCTTCCAAAAATAAAATATATTTTTCTGAAAGTTTATTTGATGAATGTTAGCTGATTTAAAGTATAATCAAACCTGATTTGAAACGAATATTATTTACTTTAAGTTTAATATATGCCAGAAATGTATTTTTACACCAGTAGCTGAGATTTTTAAACGACATTAGCTGTTTTGACAAACTGATGATAGGTCTAATGTTGTTCTATGAAAAAGTAACGAAAGCGCATTTTTTTATCATTATATAATAAAATACTCAGTAAACTTAAAAATTTATGAAAATATTTTTCCTAATATTTTATTGAATTTTACAAATGTTGAATTTAAATTTACTGTAGTTATCGCGCTTATTTATTGTCCTAAGGAAAAAATGCTGATGAATAATGAATTTTTCCAAGATTTATTTTTATTTTTAAAAAATCTTAATTTTAAATTTACTGTAATAATCGCTCTTATTTTCTGATAATATCTTGTATGATTGCCCGTACTTACAAAATTATGCATGTTTATACGCATACAAAAATGTTTAAAATTCATTTTAAAATATTGGTGTTTGATGATTTGTATTAAACTTTCCTATTTATGATTAGTAAATATAGTTTTCACTTAATAATATCTTCTAAAAGGCTGAAAATAATACAGAATTTTAAAAGCTTTTAAAACTTAAAAATTTTTTTGAATTAAGATTTTTGAAAAATAAAAAGAATTCTTGTAAGAATTCATTATTCATCAGCATTTTTTCCTTAAGACAATAATTCCTTAATTATAATGTAGAATTCCAGTCAGGTTTGTTATATTTATTTACGCGCAAAACCTTTTGGGATAATTATGGATTCACTTCTCTTCCATGTCCCACTATGGATTAAATAACAGCATTTGTATCAGTAAAGTATTATTATTTCCCAAAAGTTATTACAAGCAAAAATATATTTGTTTTTAAATTACATTTAGATTAACAAATCAGCCCAATCTTACTCCTTTTAACTCTCTCTCTCTCTCTCTCTCTCTCTCTCCATATATATATATATATATATATATATATATATACCGGGAGTTTATTATCTATCTATCTATCTATCTATCTATCTATCTATCTATCTATCTATCTATCGTATCTTAACATTATATTTATCATTAATTCTGACCATCCGAAAACCATTTACTGAGACAATCCTCTTAATATTTCATTACAGGATTTGTGGACAAACAAACTCCAGAGTTAAGACCAAACAGGAAGCCGACAGACGCATGTATGGGAAAAAAGAATGTCAAAGATGGAGAAACACGGCCAAAAAATGCGAATATATAATAATAATAATAATAATAATAATAATAATAACGATAAAAACAACAACAACATACATTCCTTCCTTTTTCATTTTTGAAGACCGGTAGATATTGTTCGATGTATTCTACTGCGACAAATGGATTCAAACACACGACTTTCGCCAAAAGAAATTCTGTTGCTTACCAATTTTGGGTTCTGTTCATATTTTTGATGGAATTCATTGTTGTTCTTCTTCTAAATATCATTGTTTTCGATATAACTAATAACTAATATTTCCGTGTTTGTCGATGCAAATTACGGTAGAGTCTCTCAACCTTTTTCAGCCAGCGTCCCCTTTCGGCACAAACATTTTTGTCAACGCCCCTCACCTGCCAAATTTAATTTCGAATATCATAATGAATTCATCTTTCATAGCAAGATAACACTTAGGTATTAGTGCAAAAATAATTTTAATATTGGTTTCATTTCTATTATAAATACCAATGATTGAATTGCTAAAAATAAAAAATAAACCCACAAAAAATACATTATTTTATACCTTGTCTCAATATTTTCAGTGTCATATCATGTTGGAGTAATGGATAGTGGCTGGGATCCATTACATTCACACGTGCTAATATCCTTGACAAAGGTATCATTTCACTTTTTCCCATCCCCAGCTATGGGTAAATAGCAGGATAGACTGGATTCCATAGCCTTGGATAGCAATTGGTCTACCGCGGGAAAAATCTGCCTCGTCAGTCATATATCAAAAGATACATGATCGTCTAAGCGTGTATCACGTATGGTACGTAACTGACTGATGGTTTGACTTCGGTTCATACTGGCTCTTACCGTCAATTCTATGCCGTTTAGAAGTAATCGCAGACTTCCTCATGCAAACAGTACAGACATCAGCATTTCTAAAACCAGATAGAAGGACTTCCACTATATAAACCGCTGACTTAAAAAAAAATCCATTCTACAAACATTAGAGATGAGAATAAAGATTATAGAGGGAAATATTTTAAAAACAATATTTTTATACAATAGTGGGTGTAATGACAAAAGTACGCAGATGTAGGCTTTAAGAAAGTCTTTATTTAACTGAGAAATTTCTATGTATAGTGTCCTTTTATAGTCCCAGTAAAAAAAAAAAAAAAATCTCTCAAAGAGGAGAGTAATAAAACAAGGGGAGACCACTCTAGATTATTCATAACAGTGGGTTTTTTTTTTCTATTTGTGCAAAAATCTTCTTTTTTTTTTTACAAAAACACGCTTAGTTTTTTTTTAGGTGTTGTATAAATATATCGTTTTTTTTTTATTTGTTTTCATTGTATATCCAAAAAGGAACTCAAAAGCGAAATTTTTGAAACGTTTCTCATGTCATATGTTTTATATTTAGTCTGAAAGTAGATGGTCCCAGAATTTACGAACTGGTGTATCTTTGAGCGAACTCGAAGTATTTGTTTATTTGTTTCATCCATTCATTTCCTACGACTTATTGTAACAACTTTTTTTTGAAGATGATGACTTTTTAGTAATATAAATCTTGCTAATTTAACCCATAGCTGGAAGGAACAAGGATTCATACCTAGGCAGATTTCAAAAAAGAAATTATAATGTGGATATTAAGTTGGGGATCAATTCTATATTGGAATCAATATAGAAACTGATCTTTCACTTTGTGACCATGGCAGGTTAGACATTTATATTCCAGAGAATGTAAATAAATCTAAGACTGTGTAGCTAATCAGTATTTCATTGACGGCTTGTCAAAAAAAATCAAGAAATAATAATTTGAGATTATTAAATGGGGATCAATTATTTTTTACAATACTCAATATATAAACTGACCCCTCACTTTAAGAAAGTCACACTAGTTTTTATACATTCATATTCCAGAGATTGTAAATAAATCTAAAAGACATGCCTATTCATAACAGTGGTTAATTTTCTATTTCATTGATTGATTGCTTCGTTTTCTCCAGCTTTGTATAAATATATCTTTTTTTTTTTTGGTCATTTAAAAGCCAAAAAATATTTTTCCAATTTTAAGAATTTTCTTTCGATAATAATGGTCCCAATGATATAAGAACTTTATTATTTTGACCCCATAATGGTAGAGGTAGATTCATTTCCTAACTTTATCAAGGCTATTTTGTCCTAAGTTAATATAACGAAGTCAAATGGAATGGTAACACGTCTCTACGATTATCAACTCTGAGCCATTATCCATTACACTAGGAGTCGGAACCCTATGGCACGGGTGCCACGCCAAGCAATTTCAATTCAGGCACGCAAATAAAAAAATGACATCACAAAATTTGAACCAATAACTACTACAGCGCAAAAATCAAGATATTTAACTGTTTCAATTTTAATATATACTAAAATATATATATATATATATATATATATATATATATATATATATATATATATATATATATATATATATATATATATATATATATATAATATAACTATATAAACTATATTGCAGAACAGGTATAGTGAACTTGACTTGTATAAAAAAAAACACGTATGCTGGTGGCACACCGAATGATTTTCAAACCTAAAGTTGGCACAAAGTTAGCAAATGGTTATCGACTCCTGCATTACACTACCCGATAGCCAAGCTCATGTCAGGATGATATTCCAAAGCGGTTACCCATTTACATACTGACAGGACTCAACGTTATTTAACTCCGATGATCATACGGGAACCTCCAAGTGTCTGCCAAGTTGAAATCGTTTAAAATTAGCCAAAGTTGCACATGTTTTAATCATTTATTTTTAAAATTCTGGAAACACTCTTTGTCTGTCTCTTTTTTTCTTGGAAACATTACTAGAATTTTGTTATTGGAATGATTGTCATAAATCAAATAGAGATTTGATTTGACACGACGTTTTCAAAAACATCCTACATCAATTGGGGTTTGGTGCTCTGCAACAAAAATTTTAATCAAACTGCCACAAAACAACTGAAAGCAGTAAAACGTAAGAAAATTGCGCTTGATAAGATATTTAAAACGTTCCCAGTTACGTTCATATGTTAAATGAATTATGTATTCCGACAATTATTAAAGAACCCCAAAACGACAAATATTCACAAAGCTCAAAAACGACAAATATTAGGTGGGTGTAAAAAAAGCGACAATATTAGATGGGTGTAAAAGAAGACAAATATTCAGGGAGGGGCTGAAAAGTGACAAATGTCGAGGGTGGGCTAAAAAACAACGAATATTCAGGGGACTCAAAAAATGACAAATATTAAAGCTCTATGCGAAAAATATTAAGGGATCTCATAAACGACAAATATTCAGGGAGTGGGGTAAAAACGACAAATTTTCGGTGGGGTACACAACTATTCTGGGTGGCTAAAAGGACGAATATTAAGGAGGCTTAAAAGTGACAAATATTCAGTGGGGGGCTAAAACGACAAATATTTAGGGGGCGCAGAAATGACAAATATTCAAAGGGCTGAAAAACAGCCTCAGGTGCCAGCCCACAGTTATTAAAAATGCCCGGTTTTCGCTTCACTATGTTTCTAGAGTTAAAATTGGACTATTTTCCTGTCAAAGTCCCGCAAAGCATCAACATCCGTTCGAAAGTAAGATTTAGAACGTGTCATGTATCGTTGGTTAAAAAAAATACGCTACCTGTTATCTGAATTTCGAATTTGAACTCGGGCTTGATCGAAATTCATCATTTGACAAACATGGCAGCCGGAGATATACATTCAGAAAAAGATTGCCCTGGAATTGGGAATGAAGTTGTGACTTGCGCATACTGTATTTGAAAAAAAAAAAGACACCTGCAGAAATAAGTAGAGGGAAGAATATACAGATACACCCTTGTGCAAATTAATTAAAACAAAACGATTAATTCCGTTATTATTTACTTTCTTTTCGTATTTTTCCAATAAAACATGACCCAGTGCACATGTTAGTACTTAGTATGTCCATTCTCCGAAGTCATTTCTTGCAGATTGATCACAGATTATCGATTGGATTTAAATCAGGAGAGTATCCTGTCCAGTCTATAGTATTTTGATTTGCTCACTTGTAAGTTTTACCATTGTGTTCTTGGAGCGTTACAATTTTCGTACGTTTCCTTGGACTAACGTCCACCGCAGACAATGGCCTAAGGACAACTAATCGACAGTCGAGACAAGAGTGTCTATGTCTAACAAAAATCTGATGCAATCAGGGATGACGCAATATTTTTCAAGGCCAAACAAATTTCATCATACACCCCGGAAATAGATTCATATTACTGCACACATATTACTGTCACTTCAGTGGGTCCAAAACTGTCCGTATAGTGAAAGAAAGGAAACTAAAGCAGATGTTTAAATTAATTTGTGCAAGGGTGTATATCCATTTAGTGTAACTGAAGATCAGCCGCTTGTACGGTTTGACATTGTTGAAAGTTAATGGTTTGCTTAAAAAAATACCCTTTTCTTTATCTATTATAATCGAAAACGTAGCTTTCTTGAGGACGAAAAATATTCCAGATCCAACCTTTTCAAGACTATATATTCGCTGCGACAAAATATCCTCCTGTTAATTTGGTTTTATTGTAAGGAAGTAAGCATTTATAGACACTTGCAGGCTATTCAGACCACAATCGTTATGATTTCATTTTTCAGAATTTGAAAATATTTTGTTTTACTGTAGTGGACAGAATGGGGTCTACTCTGTTGTAGAATAATGTAAGACTTCACACTTGACAACTCGCACAGAAAAACTGCCCCAGCTTCGCTATTCTTTATATATCTTTTTTCCAATCAATTATCAGTTTTTGAAGCCTTAGTGGCATATGTGAGCCTTCAGGTC